CTAATCTTTATATACTTCAATATATATATATTCCTAAAAGATGTGGGTTTTTAAAAAACATAATACCATTCTCAATCTTTTAAAAATGAAAAGTAATATTTTAGTAGCAAATATCCAACCCCAATTCTAAATTTACCAATTTTTACTTAGAGTCAGGAATCAATACAGCTGGTTAACCAGAGAGAGAACCGGTTAATCTCTTCTAGTGTACAGGTTCCCCTCCTCTGTGTCTTCTCTTAGACGGTACTGATGCATGAAACTGGGCCCAAAAGAATCTCCCACCTTCAGGATCTGACAATCTGCCTCCCCAGAGAGTCATTAACATGCTCCTCCACCCCTGAATTTCCTGTAAACTAATGGCAAGATTGAGAGGCTCACTCTGACCCAGCTGGGATGTTTTGGGCAGAACTACTCACTGCACAGTGGCAATATATTTCAGTTATATCAGAAGACAATGTCTGGTTGTCTCTCTTCTTCTGCTGCTAAAACTGGCTTATAGGAGGTTTCTACTACAGGTTAGAGGCAGGTCCACACCTCAGCCTGACTCTCCTACTGCATGCTGCTTTACAAACTTGGCTGTGATGCACGCTGAAGCTATTTTCAGACTGAGAAATAAATGGGGGCAGGCCAACTGGAAAAAGCAAAATTCAAACTATCACCAAAATGGTTGTATGTGCCAAAAGTTTTCACCTCTCAGGCTCAAGAATCTGGAATAAACTAGACAGATACACAAGAGATAGGAGCTCAGAAAGCCACTCCATAAAGCTTTGGAATTCAGAGGCTGATCACCAAGGTGGGCTTGCATGGACTTGGTCCTAATCAGTGCATCAAAGATGTTGAGAAGGAATTCAAGGACAGACCGCTAGGGGGCACACGTGCAGGAAGAGATAAAGAGCACTGCAAAAATAGTTTGAAAACTAACATAACCACAGCCCATTCAAGGGCCGGCGGAAATGTGGTCTGATGCAATTGGGTCATGTGCCTACGCAAACAAAAATATAACCATTCTCCATAGGAGTTAAGACCCATACGGTCATACCTAATAATCAAAATATCCAGAGTAGAATCTAAAATTACTTGCCATATAAGGAATCAGAGAAATTCCGAATCACATGGGGAAAGACAATCCACAAATACTAACACCAAGATTACACAGATATTACAATTGCGTGACGAATTATCATCATTCCCAGATGGCATGATCCCCTATGTAGAAGACCCAAAAAGTTCCACCAAAAGACACCTAGAATAAAAAAAGAGGATCGAGATGTGTGATGTGTATATACCAACTCCCCATGATGAATGTTATCATTATGTACCGCAAATGTGCTAATAAAAATAAAAGTTAAAAAAGAATTACATGACAAGAGTTTAAAGCAGCTACTAGATGAATACTCTAACAAGCAATCACAAACAGCAAAGTTCTGAGGCAAATGGAAAAATGCAAAATCTCGGCAAAGAAACAGAATAGCCAAAAGAAAATTACATAACTGAAAAATACAGTAACTGCAACTAAAACAAAGCAAAACACAGAGAAGCTCAAATGTCAATAGGGGATGACAAAGGAAAGAATCAGGAAATTTGATGGATTAATAAGAATATGCAATCTGAACAATAAGAAGCAACGTGACTGATAAAAACTGAATGCAGCCTTGGAGACTGGTCAGACAACAAGAAGATCTGATGCTGCTGTCATTAGAATGCCATAAAAAAGCAAAAGAAAATAGTACTTGAAATATTTAAAGAAACACGCCTTAAGTATGGCAAAATATAAACCCTACTGATTCTAATAGTTGACAACCCTAAATGAGCTAACTGCAAAGAAATCCACACCCAGATATACAACACCATGATCTAAATGCTGAAAACTGAAGGCAAAAAACAACCACCTTCAAAGCAGCTACAGAAAAATGATGCGTAATCTACGCGGAAGCAATTGAAATGATGGTAGGTTTCTCTTCAGAAACCACAGAAGCCAGAAGGAAGTGGTACATTTAAAGTGCTTAGAGAAAAGAATTGTCAACCCAGAATTCCATACACCATAAAAAAGTCCTACGGGAATGAAGTGAGTTAAAGACATTCTCAGATGAATGAAAACTGAGAGAATTTGTTGCCAGCAGACCTGCTTTTAAAAGAAGTGTGAAAGGAAGTTCTTCAGTAAGAGGGAGATGATACCAGGAGGAGACTGGGAACATCAGGAATGAGGGAAAAGTAAACTGAAATGGTTACAGTCCGGGTAAATATGGCATTCTAGGGAGTTCTTTAAAATCTACTGGAAAATTTAAAAGCACTGTTGCGTGACATCTAACGAATGTAGACAGACTATGTAACATAAAGAGACCCACGGAGTAAGGTTCCAGCCATCTCCCCTTGAATGGCGCCACACTGATTCAAAGAAGTCTGTGGAAAGATCAAGTGGTGATTTCAGCCTGATCCATCATTAGAAGGCTCCACATCAGTTTTTCAACTGCAGGTTTCAGCAGCTATTGACGATCCTTACCTAGATCCATTCTCCATTAAGGGTTATGAAATGGAGACCTGTACTCTAATTCTCTCACACTTCTATTGGCTGTTATCCTGTAAGGAAAAGGTACTTTCTTAAACCAGCTATGTGATTACTTTGAAGTATAATGCATGTAAGAAGGGGGAGGATAAATATTTGATTCTTTTCTTTCATTTACCAGTCCTCACAATCGCGAGTTAGAATCACAGATTGCAAGCAATAGAAGAAACAGAGAGAACAATGCTGGTTTAATTTCCACTGACATAATCTGGAATAAATTCACTCATTTAGACAAACTAAAGACTAACATTCAAACATGTAAACTGCACAGGGACCTCGGTTATGGTGAGGAGTATGAATGATGACACAATCATTTCAAGTGTACACAGTACTGTGTCAGACTGCTTTTCACTGTCAGTGGATTACTCTCTCGTACTGGGTGTACGTCTGAAACTTCTCCCTAAGACTATATGACCCCATGACAACAGGAAGCTGATTTTACATCAGTTACTACAGGCCAGACACAAGACTTTAGTGTATGTGCTGCCGAAGCAAGCACAAGCCATAAGACTTTTGATGTTACTTCATCTGATTCTCTCAACCAGCCTGGGAAATGAGCTCTCGGCACCCCATTGAGACACAGGACACCGCCATGCAGGGAGATGAGGCAGATGCCCGACTCCAGCTTCTCAGAGGAAACACACATCCAGGCTCAGCCCTGGCTTCAAGTATTGTCCTCACCTAGGCCTCTATCCTGCTGGTCTGTCCTGCTAAGGTGGGCTTCAGTCTTTCTGTTAACCACAAGAAGGTCTAAAGAGTCAGGTGGATTTCTCATTTGCAATCCAGAAGATGAAATGAGGTGATAGAAGGCATAAGGGAGAGAGGTAAAGTTCCGGCGTCCCCACAGCAGGGGATACACCAATGACTGCTCCCCAGGGCAGCAGGATTACACAGAAGAGTCTACTCTCCTCCGCAGGAACTTTAAATAGAACCAACAGGTAAGAGAAACATGAATCTATGAAAACAGTAAGTCATTAAGACGTATACATTGGAAAAAGATTATTAAAAGAAGAAAATGGTCACAATAAGAAAGGCATCACAATTAAGCACATAAAAATAAGAGAAAGAGAGGGAGGAGAGAGACCGACAAAGACAGAAGTACTGGCAGCAAACTGCCTGAGTGTTAGCATTTCATTCTAATCTGTGTGGTTATGGGCTGTTTTATTTCTTCTTTATGTATTTTGCAAGTTTTTTTTTACAGTAATTTAAAGAGGTACATTTTGTAAGAATAGCGGAGAGAGGGGTGAGCAAGCAGGGGACAGGATTCCAGGGCAGTGAAGCCGTCCTGTCCAATACAGCAGAGGATCATCTCACTACACATCCGTCCGACCCACAGGACGCACGACACCAAGGGTGAACCCTAACAGCAACTGCGTCACCACGGTGGGTCAGGAAAGACCCACTCTGTCTACTCTGGTGTGTGACGTCAGTGTGAGCAGGCTGTGCACGGCCAGGGAGGGGGCGTGTGGGAAATCTCTGAGCTTCCTGACTTTGCTATGAACCTAAAACTGGCTCAGAAATAGTCTTAAATGGAAGCATAGAAGATAAGAGACCAAGAGACAGAGGGAAGGGGAATCGAGGAAAGGAGAAGGGAACATAGGAATTAAGATGCATGTTGTTAGGTACACATATCAACTCCCCATGACGAATGTGATCGTTACGCACTACAAACGCACTATTAAAAATGTAAAAAGCTAAACAAAATAAAAATTAAAATATCAGTATAGATGTAAAAAAGAAAATAAATGTATTTGCTCAGAACACACAACAGTAGTTACAAAACTCAAGCTGTGTCTAGTATTTAGGGGGAAAGGAAAGAAGAAACAGTGTCCAGAGGGACCAGCAGCAGTGGACCTGAAGGAAGCTGTTGAGAGAGATGGAACAGTGTGACAGGTGGGGAAGAGACACTGCAGGCACCCAGGGCTGTGATGCGTGTGTGTGTGTGTGTGTGTGTGTGTGTGTGTGTGTACTAACACAAAGAAGTGTTACACAGTGGGTAAAAAGAATCAGGGTGGCCACAGTCAAGAACTTTATTGATAGCACTAGGAACCTTTTAAGAATATGCTCTTATAGTACAGACATCATCAATAAACAAGTACTTGGAAAGAGTGCCAAGAATGAGGGAAACCAAACAAGCACATGAACAAGTCAGAGTTCTGCTCACCAGAGATAACACACCCGTGTCACCCGGAAGCTGAGCTGGGTCTCCCTTGGACGTCAATGCACTGCTGACACACAGCTGATGCTGGAACCGCTGGGCCAGGCCCTTCATACAAAGCCCCCATAAATGGTAGCTGGGCATTGCCAGATTTAAACAGAGACGTGCCAAGAACAGGCGTGTGCAGTAACGGCCCACGGTGTCTGAGTGTGGAGGCGCAGTGCGGTGAGTGTCTGGTACAGACACAAGGACAGTGGTGTCGGAGTCCTGGACACTTACTGCAGTTTTCCTCGTCGCTGCCATCGGGACAGTCCTCAAACCCGTTACATCGGAAGCGGCCGATGATGCAGTGGATGCCGCTGGCACAGGGGAAGAACGTCGGGCCACACTTCGATTTAGCTTTGGCTGCAGGGTGACAAAAAGACAGACAGCAAGACATCAGGGCATTACACTCCCAGATCATGATGCCCATCCGCTCGCTCCGAACATGGTTATCTTTGTCCCCACAAGGCTTCGTACCACCACCCGTCTCAGGGACCCAGCCCCATGCAGCATCCTGGGGCAGAAACTGGCTGATCCTGCCAGACACAGCTTTGTACCATGGCAGGCCCCCAATCAGAGTGTGGAGAGGAAGCGACGGATATGGGAATGCGCGAGCAGACGGGTCACAGATGGAGCCCGCTTCTTAGGGCGCCGAAGAACCAATCAAGTTCCTTGGGTGTCTCACTGTGCTAGGCTGGTGCCCAGTGCTCTGCCCAGATTGTGTCCTCAAACCTACCCAGCAGCCACCCAATGGAGGGCGCACAGAATGGCTGGCACAGCAGCCCCAGGCTGCAGGCCTCACAAAAGCCTGCTTGTGAGGTTGGCACCTGCACACTGTAGTCAGGGGACTTGGATAAAGGGAGGGTTCCTATGGCCCCTACTAGTAAGAGTAGCTTACTGTGCCTAAACTGTCGATGCAAAGAGTATGCCCCGTGCTACACAATGGCTCTCCTTTGGGAAGCTGGAGTTTTGGTAGACAGGAGGCCAAAGTGAGCAGACTTGGATAAAAAACCTGGGACAGTGAGTTTCCTTAGTAGACAGCCCCTCTCTCACATTGTTACTCCTTGCTGCTAGGGGAATTAAGTGCATCCTGTATGCCGCAACTGTGAGAGGACTCCAGGAAGCTGAGCGGGTCTCCCTCGGACTTCAGCGCATTCACCAAGGCCTTTGCTGATTCCGCATTCTGTCCTTTAGCTGTAATTAAATCATGGCCATATACATAAAACATGACTGTATACTGAGTTCTGTGACCCCTTCCAGGATACTGCTGAACCTGGGGTGGCCTTGGAGATGGGAATGGCTCCTATCCCCATTTCATGGACGCACTCTGTGGATGAAGTGAAGTGCCCAAGTCCACACAGCTGGAGAATAGGGCCGGGGTGAGGCCCTGAGCCCAGAGTCCAGAAGCCATGATCTCAGTCAACTCAGCGGCACTGCCTCTCTGCTAAGGGCGCTCATTTTTTTGCCACAGAAGCCAGGCTCCTGCTCTGAAGAAATTTGTCTTACACTCCTGCTGTACAAGCGGTTGTAACTCAGGCTTGAATGAATGTCCCGCTAAAGCAAACAGCCCTGTGGGGTAATGCACTTTCTCGTTAATGGTGCTCGCTGCTCTGGCTGACGATTAGGAGGTGTAAGACTGGATCTGCGGTCCTGGAAGCAACTCCACCGAGCATTCCTAGCATCTCCTGGCTGAGAGGCCAGAGCCACAGTCCTTACAGAAGCAAGGGCTATTGCTTCAGAACAAGCAGGCAATGTATTACCTCTGTGCTCCCGCCATGGGTAACCTGCTAACTTTAGCATCAGCCACTTCACAATCAACAGGGTGTAAAGGCCTCAGAGGTTTCCACACTTAGAAACCCCACATGGCTGTGTTTCGGTCTGGCCCTTCTACCGTGATATGGGTTTGGACTCCTCAAGCACAGTCTTTGGGAAGTCTGGATTTCTGATGAGTCTGAGCACAGTGCTAAATATCGCTGAGCCTCAGTTCCTTCGCCAGCAAAATGGAAGCAAGGCTGACCTCACCGGCCTCTAGAAAGCACTCTGACAACCCATATCAGATGCCCAGTGTAGAGCATGGCGTACAGCGGGTGCTAAGTAAACAGGATGCTTAATGCTATCTGGCATCATCGTCACTCTCATTAAGTTTGCAGAATTTAAAAGCTGATCCTTACACTGCTAGAAATTATCTTCTGATTACTAATAGTTCAAAAAGCTCACAATAGAAGAGGTCTATGAATGAAATAAAGTGATTTCCAAGACATACTGTTAACAAAAAAGAAAACCAAGTACAAAAGAGTATTTATAGTATATTTTCCTCTATATAGGAAAAGAAGGGGGCATAAGAAAACATACATGCATTGACTGATACATGCAAAAGATTACAGGAAGGATAAACAAGAAACTGAGGAGATGGATCAGCAACAGGGGGTGAGCGGAAAGGAAAAGGAGTAGGGGAAAACAGAATAGAATAAAGTAATAAGGATCTATTTGCACACACAGTGAGTGTATGTGCCGACCTCAATATATATTTGTACTGATTATACCTCAAGAAGTGTGTCTCTTAGAACCACAATATTTTACTCATCACCAAATAGAATTATTAGAATCCATTGCAGGGGTTGGGGGGGACACCCCATGGAATATAAACAATACCAAATGAACATAATCTTATTACCAGGGAATAGTATTACCACACAGAAGGAAGTGGGAAAGAAAAGAACCTGTCTCAGTTACCAGTAAACATTATTTTGCTGGATTCTATAAGGCTACAGAAAAAGAAAAGAACTGTTTCTTCAGAGTGTTGTAGTTCTCAATGTAGAGGTCTTTTGCTTCGTTAGACTGATTCTAGATGTCTGTACATAGACAGCATACTATAATTGTCTTACACGGGGGCTACGGAATAGCAATTTGAAACTTCCTTTTGTGTGTACAAGGACTGAACAATAAGTAAATGAATAGACTGTGAACAATAAGAGTAAGATGTCTCATTGTCTGGGGAAAGAAGTTGCAAATTAGGAAAGTAAAAAATAAAATGAATGGTGAGATTTTGCACTGGCATCCCAATCCCAGCAAGCACATCTAGCCCCCAGCTCCTGGTTCCTAAATAGCATTAACCAGCAAACAGAAGGAACCAAGGCTTCTCAGAGAAGTGGTTCATTACAGATGGGACAGAAAGACGATCCTGTGATCCTGGAGAATCTTGTGTTGACAGAAAGTAAAGAAGAAAATGCAAAATGCAAGGGATGCCAAAAGCTCTGACAGCCAAAGCTAGAATAATCTAAGCAAGCAAAATAATCAGTAGTTTTTTGGATTATAATCTAGAGAAAAAAAATATCCGTGAGGTTTCTGAGGACACATCTGATGCCCCAAAATGTTTAATAAAACAGTGAATGATGTGGGGGTGGGGAGATAATTCTTCCAGCCATAAGAATTCCCATTAATAAATATAAAAGATGTGGGACCCAGAAAGTCACCAGTAAGCAAACAGCACAGTGTTAGCTATTACATAGGCAAGATGAACCCATGGATCCAAAATTAGAAGTTGAAAGCTAGAGGAGAAATGAGAAATTTGCATACTCTCAAAGTGGCAATATGTTTATCATGTTGCCTTTTATAGCTATGACCATTACTCTACCACCAATATGTTTATTAATTACAAAGGGAAAAGGTGATTTAATGGTGGAGAAACTCGGCAGACAGCAGCTTAGCCGAGTTATCATGGTCCACATGACAGCAAGAAGGCACATCAACAGTACACTTCCACTCAGGTGAGGCACTGAGGTCATCCCCTCACTGCTGGGGAACTCTTGTAAAGCAAAGACACAAAGCATCAAAGCAATCACAGGAACACACCAGACAAACCCAAACAGAAAGACATTCTACCATTCAGCCAACCAGAAATCTTCAAGGTTATGAGACACTTAGAGATTACCCAATATTGGAGGAGACAAGAATACTAAATGTAATACGGGGTCCTGGCACAGACATTAGTGGGAAAACTGCATGAATCCCAGTGAAGTTCTGTACTATAGCTGACAGCACTGTAGTAGCACTGATTTCTTAGTTTTGAAAACTGGTGTGGCTGCATACGACATTAATAAGTGGAAGATGAAAGAAGAGTATGAGAACTCTTGGAACTATTTTTGCAACTTTCCTGTGGGGTTGAAATTATTCCAAAATAAAAGGCAATAATCATATTCATGGTGCAGTACATAGAAGTAGAAGAGAGGAGAAAGAAATTACCCATGATCTCTCCACTCCAAAGTAACTGTAATTAATGGTTTTCTGTGCAGGTGATATTAGAATGCATATTTTCTAATGTTCCCAGATGCTTTATTAAATTTTTAAATTTTAAGATAATTGCAGTTGTGAGAAATAACATAGGAGAGCCATACACCCTTTTCCTACTGCCCCCCATTGTAAAACCAGAGCACAACATCACAAGAGACTGACACTGATGCTGTAAAATACAGAACATTTCCATCACCACATGCTGCTACTCTCCCATTTCCACCTTTTTATTAATCCTGGCAACCACAAGTCTGTTCTACATGTCTATAATTTTATCACTTCGAGAATGTTGTGTGAGTGGAAACATACCTTCTATATAACCTTTTGGGACTGGCTTGTTTTCATTCAGTATAAGTCTCAAGAAAATACATAGAATTTTGTACACTAACTCTTTCACTTAGCATTACAACATAAATATTTTCCTATGTTTTTGTAGCTGCAATAATATCTCATTTTATTAGCATGATATAGTTACTTTACCATTTCCTTCATGTTGGGTACTTGGTGCTATCGTACAAGTGGGGTTTGTCCTCCAAAGGTTTGTGTGTCGGATGCTGTGCTCTCCACGTGGCGGTACTAGGAGGTGGTGGAACCTTCTAGAGCAAAGTAATTAGGCAGTTGAGGGCACCGCCCCTGGAAAGTGTAGAAGCCGGTCTAGGGAAATGAATCCACTTCTACAAGAGTTGGGGGGGGGCAAGGATTTAGCTCAGTGGTTCTGCTGCCTACCTCAAAAGCGCAAGGTCCTGAGTTCAATCCCTGGTACCAAAAAAAAAGAGTGAATTGTTATAACAAAGCAAACGTGACCCGTGAATTGCTCTCTGGTCTCCTACCTCACCAGGTATCTCCCTCTCCACACAGAGCTCCTGTCCATGATGCCATGTGTCATGCAATGCCGCCAAGGGATCCTTCACCAGAGCTGAACAGACCTCAATGCCAAACTCCTGAACCTCCAAAAACAGTGAGCTAAACAACGCTCCTTTCTTTACAAATCTCCAAGCCTCGGGTATTTGGTTATAGCAACAGAAAGAGGACTAACAGTTAGTTATGATCAAATTCTCGGCATTAGAAGTTAC